AAGTAATTAAGTTTTTTGGCCGAAAGGGGACTAGCGTTTAGAGGCGATAATGAAATACATGGTGATCCTAGTAATGGCAATTTTCTTGGGTGTATCGATCTCTTAGCCAAATTTGATCCGTTTCTAGAAGAACATGTAAGAAGATACGGTAATCCAGGCCGCGGAAAAGTATCATATTTATCCTCCACAACGTATGAAGAACTAATAATTTTACTGGGGTCAAAAGTATTGGAAAAAATAGTTACAGAAATCAAAGAAGCCAAGTATTATGGAATCACTGTGGATTCTACACCTGACGTTAGCCATACGGATCAACTCTCCATAGTTATTAGATATGTCTCAAAAACTGGAGATATATATGAAAGATTTTTGATGTTTGTTAAAATAGAAAAACATGATGCCAAGTATCTTTTTGACACTCTAATTTCAGTTTTAGAAAATCAGGGAATAGACCCAAAATTTTGCAGATGTCAGTCTTATGACAATGCGGCTAATATGAGCGGAGTGTATTCGGGAGTACAAACTAGATTTAGGGAAATCAACAGCGCAGCCACTTGGGTACCATGTGGAGCTCATAGTCTTAATCTAGTTGGCACAGCGGCGGCAGAAAGCTGCTTAGAAGCTGTAAAATTTTTTGAAATTTTGCAATCGCTCTACAATTTCTTTGCAGCGTCCCCTCAAAGATGGTCTAAACTAAGGTCTTTGGGAAGTAAAATTTCTGTAAAAAGACTTTCAGAGACCAGATGGTCAGCACGTTATGAGGCTGTAAAAACATTATGTGCCCATTATGATGATATACGTGGTATTCTTACAAATATTTCAACTAGTGAAGGTATGAAACCTACAACAGTGATTGAGGCACAAACCTTAATCCATCAAATGAATACTTTGGAGATGGTATTACTCACAGTTATTTGGGAAGATCTACTAAAACACGTCGATATTGTAAATAAATCTCTTCAAGAACCTGGCATCGAGTTTAACACGATGGTGCGACTTTACGACAGTTTAATTCAATATTTATCTCACTGCAGAACTGAGGACATGTATAATAGCTATTATCTTAAGGCAAAAGCCCTTGCACCAGATTCAGAATTTAAAGAATCCGAAACTAGAGTTCGTAAAGAGAAAACGACAGTTCGATGAAGGGCCAGATGAGACTCCCTCTCGCAGTGCCAAAGATTCCTTTAAGATTAATGTTTTTTTTATTGTTCTGGATGTGCTTTGCGCTGAAATGACAAAGAGACGCACTGCGTATACCAGCCTTTATGACACATTTAGTTTTCTTACGGATAATACACTGACCGAGGACATTATCAAGGTTAAGGCTCAAGCTCTGGTAAAAATGTATCCGTCTGACTTAGAAGAAAACTTTGTTGATGAGTATTTGATTTTTTCAAATTTGTACCCCAAAACCACCTCTATAACGGATCTCATCAAATTACAAATAAAGGATAAACTTGTGTCAAGTTTCCCAAATGTTAATATTGCATTGCGCATATACCTTTCGATATTGGGTTCGAATGCAGAAGGAGAAAGATCATTCTCCAAGTTGAAGCTTATAAAAAATTTTATGCGTTCAACTATGGGTCAAGAGAGAACTTCGTCACTGGCCTTCTGTGTATTGAAAGTGATGTCGCTCGCGGCATTAATTTTGAAGATATAATACACGAATTCGCTGTGTCAAAATCCCGAAAAAAGGAGTTATTTTAGAATCTACTTAGTAAACCAAACGTTTTGTATTCGTATTTTTTGTGTATTTGTATTTACATATATTATTTTGACCTTCACTATATAATAACATAAAAATGTTTATAAGTTTTTGGGGTATTTTTATTTCAATATATTTTTTTTCAAAGCCCTAAGACCTTTGGCCTTCGTAGGCCCTTTGTCCTTCGTAGGCCCTAGGCAAGTGCCTACTGTGCCTAATTGGTAATCTGGCCCTGGGTTTTAGTTTAAAAGAATTTTCATCTTGTTTAAAAACTTGTTGAAAAATACACTCACCTTCTTTGTTGAAAACTACCAACTCATTATTGCAAATGATGCTGGCACTCGTATAGACAAGATTAAATTCATATATTTTTGAGGAAAATTCTTGCCATGTTGCAGGAGTTATAACAACACCGCGTGTAGTAGGGTATAATATTTTATTTTGTTCCACACATTCACGTAGATGAATGTTCATTCTGTTTTCAAACTGATTTATGGACACAAAATATCCCCAACCAAGAGTCCACTGTGCAATCAACTTCGAACTTTCTTTTTTCTGTTCTCGATTATTCGGCATGAAGATATTTTCAGGAACAGACTTCATATAGTGGGCAAACCAGTCATCCTCTGGAAGTTCATCCTCATTATCTTCCAAGCGTCGTTTTTTAATTTTCGAAATTTTTATGTTTCGGAATGTGATACTAATTCTAGGATCTTTAACGTCAGGTTGAGAGGGTATTCCGTGCATCCAAAATTGATTCGTTGGGGGTTTCATTACAAGGAGAGTTCCATGAGTTAAGTCCACGCTTCGAGATGTGAAATTTCGCCTGGTAAATACCATTTGACGTTTTGCACCTAAACTGATGATAGGTATATCACTTTCAGGTTCGAGACAAGTTTCATTGTCTTTATGCGTTGAAATTTTCGCCACTCCGTCAGGATAATAGTTCAATAAAGCAAAATTATATTTTTTGCCAGTTATCGTTTCAACATAATCTTTTACATTTAGAAGAGTTTGAGTCCATGGTTCTGCACAAATGCTCGTTCCAGAGAATTCGTAACTAAGTCCTTCATCACCAAAACCGAGTACTTTTCTTCGTGGAACATACTGAGTCCCATTAATTTCAAAACTAATATTTTTAAAATCATAATTTGATAGTTCATCTAGCAAAATATCAGCTTCATTTCGTGAATAAAATTCTTCGTGTATAATTCCACATTTAACTCTGTATCACATATATTCCTCATATTCGCTTTTGAATCTAACGACAATTCTGAATGATATAGAAATACGTAGCATTCTTAAATAGCAAAAATTATCTAAAACAATACATTAACGAAATGATTTCATCAAATAGTGTCACTTCCTTCATAAACTCCTGTAATAAAAGACTAAGTTCTTGTCATATTGTCTTGTTTAAAGGAAAACTGATAATCATTGAAAACCATTTAAAACAGTTTTATTCCGGCGTCACACACACATATGTGTAAAAAAAAAAGGAAAATTTCAATAATTATCATGATAGGATAGTGGGAAAGAGTTATAGTGTCCTAATGTTGTTATTCTGAACCTCGATATTACATATATGCATAAGAAGAATCTAAAAAGCACCATCCACTTATCATGATAGAGTAATGGAAAATTTCTAAAACTCTGATAATCATACGCGAAAGAATGTATTATCTTAAGGTTATTGTTGCTATTCCAAATTTTACAGTACATACAGAAGTGAAGGAAGATCCTTGATAAGCGCTGAACGTGCAGCGCTTATTATGATTATAAAAATTAAGATTATAAAAATGCACTAATATAAGTACAGCTATTCTATTTAAATTTCTGTCTTTGGTTGATGTTATGAGTATTTTTTTTCCTTATGTTTTTTTAATAGAAATATATTGAAATTTTAGTTTTAATTTTAAAGCAAACATGTATATCAAATATCAGTAAATGGATATTGTTGTTAATTTGATATTAACTAATGAAAGAAAATTCTAAGTATATTTTATGTATAATACAGAAACTTGTTCTTTGGAAATAAATAAATGTATTTAAATAGAAAAGCTTCTTGGTGAAATGAATGTATTTTTTTATTTTTTATAACAATTTTTTTAAGTATTGTATGTTTACAGTGCAGTATATGCTTCAAGTGATTCACTCGTGTTGAAAATTTAAGAGTTTATGAAGCGATTATTCGCTGAACTTATGTGATATATTTGCGAAGGTTTCTTGAATACGAGTAATCTGAAGAGATATTTGAAATCTCATGAAAGAAACATCAGATGTAGTGTATGTCCTAAGAAATTTAAGTTTATAGTTTGAAAAGTCGCGAAGCTTCTCGTCTTAGAATTTTGTAGTGAATAATCACAAGTTCTTTTCATGTAAAAAGGATATGAAAAACTAATAAAGTTACTTTTAAGAGTAAATCATGATAAAAAATATTTAGTGAGTATAAGAATTTAAAACAATATGAATCTTTACATCGTATTGAATGTTCGGACATTTTTTCAAGTAAAACAGAATTTGAAGAAAATCTCACGAAACTTTTTTTTTTTTAAATGTTTGCCGGTGTCAAAAGAAACAGAAATATGCTGATGATGATGTTTTGAAACAGCAGCATGATACTTCTCTTCTTATAAATTGCATCCATTGTTTACAAGTGTTTAAAAGAAAAAGTGATCTCTTACACCACATTCGAATGCGACATGATTTGATGTGAATCTTATAAAAACGAAGAAACGTTGACATCGTTAATACATGCAAGTCTTCTAAAATCGCAAGTCTTAATAGTATGTTCGCAATTGAATCGATTTGCTAGAACATAGAAAATGATCATGTCTTAGATGTACTTCTTGAATATATAAAATTGTAGTTAGTAGGGAAAAAATGAGTTATGATGTAGTTTTTACACTGAGTTATGATATCGGTGTTTGAAATGGTAATCAATAGTTACATTTAAAATGTGTCGTGAGTGTGAAAATGCAGAAATAAAAGAGCTTTGGCGAATTTAATAAACGCGGTTCAATGTGGTTGATGGAAAAATTTGTTCCATGTGAATTAAATAGTGTAAGATATGAACCTCTTTCTCTCAATAGTTAATTATTCAATTGTAAGACAATTAAACTTTAAATATATATGCATATAGTACATGTAATGATTAATATTACATTGATTAATGTAAATAACTGATGATATGTGTATTAACATAGTGAATGTTCGCTTTTATGAAGTTCTAAGCATTACTTTAAATACCATTCATAAAACTTTTATCTCATATATACAAACATGACAATATCTATTGAGTTTTCGTTTATTCTTTGGAATGTATGAAAGTTTAAATATTTTTTTTTAATTTAATGTAGATTGGAGTAAAATATCTGTATCTTTCTTCATTTCAATCGGTAATATCTGTATGCTGGTAAAGGTACGTATGTTCGTAAGAATTATACTGTGTCACATTTTTTGACAATCTTCTTTCATTCATATTAGCTAATAAGAGAATTATTGAAGTTAGTAAAGTAATGAAAATCAACGTTATTGAAAGAAAAAAACTCTAAAAGCATTTACATTTCCAGAAATATATCAAAGTTCCTTTTCTTAAAAACAGCAGGTGTATCGTAGTTTTTTTATTTCGTTTAAAAAGCTGAACTTGTAAAATAAAAATTTTCTATTAGTGTAAGGTAAACAAAAAAAATCAAGAGACAATCCGTATCATGAATGAAATTCAAGTCTTACATCGGATTAAAAAGAAATATTCTGAATCTAAATGTTTATGCCTATTTAGCACAAAATGTGTTTATTTGTGTTATAAATTTAACTAAAACCATTCTTATAACAGTATGTTGCCTTTAAACTGGGTAAAAATGTTAAGTATATTTTCTGATGGTATTGATATACTTGTCCAAAGAAGTTCTAGAAACCTCAAATGTCGAAAGAGCATATGATAAGAGTCTCCTTTCCTATCGCTACGTCAGTTACAGGTTAAGGGGTGGTCTTGAATGGATAAAGAAGTTTGTAAAAATATAGTAGTTCTATTTTGAAATGAGAAATAATTCGCTTTTTGTCAATTAAGGAAACTTGTAGTATTATTAAACAGAATGTCAGTGAAAGACATTGCGTTTGCATAGTGAATTATGAAGGTACTGAAAGGTAGTAAAGAAGGTGAATGAATAAAGAATTAATTTGAACAAATAAGGTAAGGCTATCATTAAAAGAAAAAAACTGTTTCGAAAAGATGTATGTTAGAATTAGAAAGATTAAATGTTAGAATGTTCGAAAAAGATGTATGTTCAAAGAATGTATGTTAGATGTAAAAATGTAAATAGAAGTGAAAATTTTAAAACACTAAAAACATGATGTTAGACACTTTGAAGATCGTAAAACTATATGAGAAAGAAATACATTTAGATATAAATGGTATTAAACTGTAAAGTTGTGA